TGCAGGTCTTGCTGAAGGTCACAGCTCTCTGGACAGCCATTCCTTCCCTAGACTTTGTCATTCCCTGTCCTTACTCTAGTCCATACATGGTGTGTTCATGGTATATGAAAGCAGGTCTGGAAATCCCTTCTGAAGGGGAACTGAGCAGGTATGGTCCCAGTAGAACAGAATTTCTCCCCAGCTTGTTGTCTGGTCCCACTGAATGTTGAACTATGGTCTGGTCTCTGCAATGGCCTCATGAACACTCCATGGCAGCCACTCAGAACGAGCTTTCAGTGAGCAGAACGCTAGAATGTCATGATTCACAGAGGCTTTCAGGGCTGGCATGACTGGTGGAGAATTTCCTCTAGCCTCACTGAGAACTGCTCACCACTCTGGATCATTTAGTCAGTCTATTATAAATTTGAACCAGAATGGAGTCCAGATAGAATAGGGGATATAGGTAGACTTCAGCTTTTTTGCCTAAAGGCAGGCATCAGAAAGGAACTCCCTTTGTTATCATGAAAGTTTATTTATATTTTTGATAGAGGGATTTCACTACATGTGCCTGAGCCTTGGACTTCCTAGATATAATTCCCAGTCCTGAGAAAACTCCATAAAGCTGAATGTGATTAATCTTAAAGGTTGTCAGGGATTGGTGAACAGTATTGCTCTGTTTTGATGGGGAGCAGATGCTCTGCCTTGCCATCCATGCTTGTATAAGTGAGGGGCTGATGTCTTGTGTGGTCGAAGGATTAAGGTGTTTAGTGTGGATGTGTTCTGAATGAAGATGAAGAATGTTTCCCCCTACCTTGCTCTCCACAGCCTCTGCTTTTTGAGGAGGAGCTGCAAGAGCCTCATGGTCCTTGATGGACTTGTCTTCCAGGAATTCACTGGTTTCTCCTTTTTTTCCTGAGCTTTCTAAAAAACTCAGATTACACAGACAAACCTACCACTGTTTCACTTCAGTTTTATACTACTTTGAATTATCTGATACCCCAGACATTTTATTCAAAAACTTTCTCCATGGGATCTGCAGCTTGCTAGTGCTGTTGTCAGCCATGCTGTCATATGAACAGGGCGTGCTGGAGGCATCAGTGCACCCTGTGGACCCTGATTAACAGTCTGGCAGGGAATATTCACACTCTGCTGCAGCAGCATTTCTGCTGCCTCTGTGTAAAATGAGAGCTCCCAGGAATGTTAGCACATGCTGAAAACAAATGCTGATGCTCTGATCTTCATCACAGCAAAACTTCTCATCCCTACCCTTCTGCTAAGACGTAGCTGGACCATTGCAATGGTAAGGACATACTTTGTACATAAAAACCAGTAAGAATCAGATTAGACTATAGTAAAGTGTATTTCTTGCAGGCTGTTTGTGTGCCATACTGTGGCTGGCATGATGAGTTGCCCAGCAAAGAAACATGGTTTGGAGATCTATTAAGGCATCCCTAATCCATGCTGGTGCATGGAATGAAAAAAAATAGTAATAAACATGAACTGACCTTGAAGAAAGTTGCTAATTTTCATAAGTAATGGCAGACTTGAATGCATCTTCTGAGATGAAAAGCAGTTCAGGATGCTCACTGCACAGACTATGAGAGATGAGAACTAAAATCCAAGGAAGTAGAGCATAAACCCCAGGATAATGTTGCTGGTGAAATTTGGGGGGCAGTTGTTTGGGTGGGGATTTTTTGTGGGGAGAGGGGGGCGAGGCTGGTTTTTTTTGTTTGTTAATTTGTACAAATTGGTGGCTTTTCTCTCTTCAAGTTCTGTTCCTCTAGTCTTAGTGGTTGCTATGCTTGTGATGTTGCTTCAGTTCATGGAAATCAAAATGGTTTTCCTGGTATGGACTGTTGCAAGTTACATGTTTGTAAAGGTGATGCCTTTCAGTGTGGACTCCAAGTGGCTTCCTGAAAAGCTGCAGTGGCAGATTATTTGCAGTTAAGGGGAAGGTGTCATTTCACTGAACAGAGGAAGGTAAAATCTGTGACCTGGAATGTCAGGATAAACAGATCTTGAAAGTGCATCAGAGTTAGCTAATCATTCTCCTTCTATCAGTACAGCAAACATGAGAGGATGACATCTGAGCAGTTCTAAATAAGATGAGAGTGATGTAGAGGATACTTTTTTCACAACACACTGGGGCTTCAGTTACATAGAAGATGAGTAGGGTGGAAAGACTGAGAAGCTAGTGGGAAGATTAGTGCCTGGAAATGTCTGAGATGTTGGAAAGTGAAGCAAAAATTACAGAAATCAGTGTTCAAAGTTCAGTATCAGAAAGAAAAAAAGGCCAGCTTGTACTGAGAAAAGAAAAAGAAAAGGATGATGAGGTATGTCTCACATATAATGTCTCAGTGCCTCTTAAAGTGCTGATGCTTTTGTGCCCAGGAGACTCAGTCATCCATGCCCGAGCTCTTGAAGGTCAGAGAACTCCACAGTCCACATGGGGCAGCAGCTCTAGTGGAGCTCATCAGCTGCATCTATTTTAAACCTTCTCTTTGAGATGTTCCTTTAGGCCACTTATGGGCCCATGTTCTTCCCAAGATCAGTTACCTGTGCATCAGCACATTTCACATCACAAGCAGCCTGACACCAGAAATAGTGCATTGATGCAAAAGACTCCTGTCCTCCAGCCAAAGCAGCAAATCAAAAGTGAGGAGAAATCGGTTTTCTTTACTCATCCCTTTGATATTCCACTCTGATTCCAAAAAGTCTCCAGCCATGCTTTCCAGGATGGCCAGTGGCAAGGCCAGGACAGCACAGTGCAGTGTGTGTGATTTCTCTCCCTCTCCCACCTGTGCAGTTGGAATTCTGGCCCAAGGTGTTGTCTCTTAAGGAGCCTGCAATGTTACCTTTCATCAGCTGAGCATTTAGTAAGAAATCCTCAGGCCATTATTTCTTACAGGTGAGAGAGAAGCCCCAACAGTTTCAGGTGCTTCAAGTGCATCCTGATTCTTCCACAGACAGGGCAGCTTGTTTATTTTGGAGGGTGATTGTAATACTGTGCAAAGGGAGCAGGGAGTTTTGACATTGAAATATGGTCTTCAAAGTTGCTGTTGCATTTTCTAGTCTGTCAGCAGGTTTAAAGATGTACAGATGGAGCTGGAAATACTTTTCCGTATTTTCACTGAGCCACAGTTGCAATAGACTGATTTTTGAATTGCGTTTTTGGGGTTCTTTGTTGTTTGTTTAAAGATGTTCTTTAGAACAAAAAAAATCTCCTGCTTTCTTTGAAGGTATGGCAGGTAAAGATTTGTCTGGAAAGAAAGAATACCACCATCTCTTAATAGCATATCGTGGGAAGGGAAAAGGTGAGGTGTCATTTCCCTTCTTTGTTGCCCAGATATCACTGGCACTGATGAAGTTTTCCCAGCTTCACACATAGAGATGATTTCTCTGAAGAGCATCACTTACAGTGACACAAGAATCAGTACAGGGTGTCATCTTTTCCTTAAATATATTTAACTGCTGTGTAGAAAATTACTTCCATATATAGTTCTAACAAGAGAGGATTCCTTGGGTGTAAACCTCAGTGTGTTTGGGAGGAGGAACACCTCCCAGTCCTGAACGCTGTTGCTACAAGCACACTGACTGCTGTGGTCAATGCAAAAGGCTTCCTTTCTGCTGTTTTCTCACCATCTCCTTTCCAGCAACTCCAGCTCCCTTCCCCAGCAGTTTCAAAGCTCCTTGAAGTAAATAAAGAGGTGTAGACCTAGCCAGGAACCTTGAGGGACCCACAAACCTGTAGTGTGATAGAGCCAAGTCTCTTTTACGATGGTAAAATGGAAAAATGTATCTGCAAGTAGAATCTGCCCTTGGCAGCTATGAGATGTGCCTGAGTCCTCTACTGTTACAAAAGTGGTTCCTTATTCTAATTTCTGCTTCTTGCCTTGCAGGAAACAGCCTGTCATTTGTTTAAGACTTCAGACCAGTACACCTTGTGTAGATGTCTTGTTTCTTCTCAGTTCAGCCCAAATATAGTTGGTATCTACATTCCACTTACCCAGTGCTGCAAAAGTCAGACAGGTAGGACAGTGTTTATCATTATTATCTATGGATTTTTATCTCTATAAAGTGTTAGATTTTATGATTTCTTTCAAGTTGTAATGTTTTCAGTATTATTTCCACTTGAAGACTTATCTTGCATGATGAAAACCAGCTCTTTTAGCTTTTTGTATTTGTATGTTATTCTTAATTATTCCTTAGCACAAAAGCTCATACATTTCAGTACTGGATAGACTATCCAGTAGTCCAGCTTTTCCCAGCTTGTTCTGATGGCTCTACATGTTAGACTGCTTGGGGTTATTCTCTTCTTCAGACTTCTACCAAGCTGTTCATTAAGTTCAATTTCATTTACAGCAGGAACATATTGTATTAATATTGGCTATTCTGCCTCACAGAGGAAGTAAGGCACCACAACATCCTCCAAATAATATATTATTTGTTTTTCTTTGAAACGGATTGTTAACACCATATTCATGAAGTTATTAACATTAACCATATTCATGAAGTTATGTAAGTTTAAATTTGCTCAGTAGCAAGCCTCTCTCTAGAGTTACTGGCCTTTGCTTGCTTGTTCTAAGGCAGCACATCAGTCCTTGCCTAAGTTCCTCCATAAGGACTCAGGGACATACAGATGCTTTTAGGACTACAGATGTGTTCCCTTGGGGCAGCTTGCCTCTAAATACCACTTGCCCAGGTGATAACGGGACCATCAATGAGAACCTCTGAGTATTGGACCCATGTAGAAACACAACTCACAAAGGCAAAAACATTTTTCCTATGCCAGGACAGAAAAGGTGCTTGTCCTGCCTTTGTCCTGATCCTCTCCCAGTATGGAAATTACATTAGTCTTATTCCCTCCTTGCTAATGCAGTAAGACACAATGGAGAAATACCGGAGATGGGATAAGTACAGTGCTACCTTTACACAACGGATAAGTGAAATAAATATGTCATTTGAAAAAGCCCCAAACATGTGTAACTGCAGAACTGAATTGTAATGACCAAAATCACGGATTCTGCTGTGTATGCGAAGAAATCTATTGTATTTATTCTCTACATATTGACACGGTTATGAACACTTCAAGAAGGAAGTGACAGAGGGTTCACATTTTGTGCAGCCCCTCAGGTCACTTTGCTTCCTCATGACATTCTCACTCTTCCTCTCCTATTTTCTTGACATGAATCTCCCTGCTCTTGGCTCGGAGCTTGTTGACCTGTGACTCTGCAATGTCAGCCCGCTCCTCGGCTTCCTCCAGCTCGTGCTGGATCTTGCGGAACTTGGACAGGTTGACATTGGACAGCTCCTCCTGTGAGGGGAAAGGGAGTCAGGGGTCAGGAGCACAGGACAGGGGTTTCACTTCTGCTGCAAGTCAACCCAATGGGGCTGCACATCTCCATCCCCCTCCCACCACTGCTCAAACATCAGCCTCACACAGATCTCCTCATCCTTCCCTTTTCAGGAACCTATTGTGACAACATCCACCAGGACTGTGTCACACGTGAGGAGGAATTTCATAATTTCAATTTGTCATTTCTGTATTTACTCTTGCACTATGTATCTGTATGAGTTACTGGGTTAAGAAGGCCAGGATGCCTTCTGCTGCTGATTATTAGCAGAGATTCAGGATCTTGTCAGGCAGTGGGTGTGGCCCCTGGGCTTGTTTATTCTGGTCTCCTGTGTGAAACAGGCTGCAGAACTTGCCTTAAAGAACCTCCCTGACTACAGGGTGCCCAGAACTCACCAGGGCCTCATGACATGATAGCAAAACAGCATGGCCAACTCAGTTGTGTCTCAGGAGTTTCTTTCATACCCCTCTCCTGGTATTCGACCTCATTCAATGTGTGTGCTGCCCAAATGGAATGTAGATTTTGCCAACTCCAATACTTACAGCCTCCTCAGCTTGTCTCTTGTAGGATTTCACTTTCATTTGCAGCTTGTCCACCAGATCCTGCAGTCTGAGAATATTCTTCCTGTCTTCCTCAGACTAGAGAGGTTGGCAAACAGCATAGAGAGTCAATTCTTGATCCTCCATCAGGCAAGGGTAACAATTCCCCTTGGGGATGGTGTGTGTAAAATGTGACTGACTGTGAGCAAGCCCTGTCAGAGCAGGAGCCCTCCTGCCTTACCTGGTAGGTCAGTTCCTTCACCCTGCGCTCGTACTTGCGCACGCCCTTCACGGCTTCAGCGCTGCGCTTCTGCTCAGCATCAACCTCCCCTTCCAGCTCCCGCACCTGCAAGGACAAGCCCATCCCTGCAGCTTCCCTGGCAATGTCTCTCCAAGGACACGCTCACTCACACACACACCCAACCCTACACACCCTGGCCTCCAGCTTCTGGATCTGCTTCTTCCCTCCCTTCAGTGCCAGCTGCTCGGCCTCTTCCAGGCGGTGCTGCAGGTCCTTCACTGTCTGGTCCAGGTTCTTCTTCATCCTCTCCAGGTGGGCACTGGTGTCCTGCTCCTTCTTCAGCTCTTCTGCCATCATGGCCGCCTGATCAGAGCAAAGGGTCAAAGCCATTTTGGGGCTGGAGATATTTTGGGCAGAGTACATTCACCACCAGCAATGCCAGGAGCACCCAACTCACATCTGTGATGGCCTTCTTGGCCTTCTCCTCAGCATTGCGGGCTTCCTGGATGGTATCCTCCATTTCACTCTGGATCTGGGCAATGTCTGTTTCCAGCTTCTTCTTGGTGTTGATCAAGCTGGTGTTCTGTTGAACAATAAAATTTTGTGCCGTTATTTCCTAAGGATATCAATTATTTAAGAAATTTAATTTTTCAATGTGAAGGTATCCTGTAAATACCTAATATCAGCATCTTCCTGACAAATCTTGTCAGGTCATACAGAACTAGATAGCTGAGAATTATTGAATTCTGAAGCAGTTTTTCTTACTGCTAATTCAATCCTACTCATTTTGCCATAATCCATTTCTTTGTACAACTGTAATAGTTCTAGTTCAGATTAAGAATTTTATTACAAGAGTTGATTTAGGAATTTACACGGAAGAAAATCTGTAAAGGAAGAAAAAAGCCCATAAGATTTTGAATCTAACCTGAGTGTGGAGAAGCTGAACTCTCTCACTTGCATCCAGAAGCTCCTGCTCAGCCAGTTTCCTTGACCTCTCCGTCTGCTCCAGGGCTGCCCGGAGCTCCTCAATTTCAGCCTGCAGCAGGTTTGCTCTGCGTTCCACCATGGCCACCTGCTCCTTCAGGTCATCCTGTGTCCTGAGAGCATCGTCCAGATGGATCTGGGTGTCCTTTAAGAGATTAAAGAGAAATTACAAGGTGAAGAGTAGAGAAATTAAACGGCGGCCCAGCACTGTTGCACAATGGCAATTGTCACCAGTCCAATAATTCTTATGGCAGTACAATATATATAAATATAGGTATATATTTATATGTGGACTTATGCACAGTATATTAGAAAAGTCAGTAGGAGGTTGATTCATGGGCATCTGGGACAGCTGAAGAGTAAGGTCAAGTCCCTGAATTTTAGCAGAGTGGAAGTGAGTTGTTCAACGAACTCCTGGATGGAACCCCATTGAGAAACTCCCCTCAAGAATAAAGAAGAAAAAAAGACTTAAGAATGTTTTTTCTAGAGTTCAAGAGCTCTCAATTCACACTTGCAATCAATCATGGAAGGGAATCAGGAGATCAGCATGGCTGAGCAAGGAGTGTCAGATCAAACTGAATGTAAGAAGGAAATGCATAATGTGGTAGAACAAGTGCCAGTTGTCCTCGGAAGAATATAGAGATGCTGCCAGGATGGGTGGGGATAAGATTATGAAAGCCAAGGCAGAGGTGGAGCTGAATTCCTGTTTTATTAAGTTTTTGTGTGGCCTGACATTGAGTATTGCATCCAGTACTGGGCTCTTCAAATAAGGAGAATTATTATAGGAACTGGAATGTATCGAGAGGACTGCAGCAAAACCAGGACTGGACAAAGTAAACCCCTAAGTGCAAATTCTTAATGTAACATACCTTGAGCACTGCCTGGGTGTTTCTCAGGTTCTTCTGTGCCTCTGCAGCCACACGGTTGGCATGGCTCAGCTGAATCTCCATTTCATTCAGGTCTCCCTCCATCTTCTTCTTCAGCCTCAGGGCTTCATTCCTGCTCCTGATCTCAGCATCCAGAGTGCTCTGCATGGACTCCACAATTCTGAGGTGGTTTCTCTTCATCTGGTCAATCTCCTCATCCTTCTCTGCTATCTTCCTGTCAATCTCAGACTTCACTTGGTTGAGCTCAAGCTGCAGGCGCAGGATCTTCCCCTCTTCATGTTCCAGGGAGGCCTGAAAAAAAGTATAAAATCCAGTCAATTATTAAAAAAAACCATTGTCAACAACTTTATATGAATTGTTATCTTAAAGAATAATGTATAACCAGAAGCCTGAGATTGAAAGAAAGGAAAAAGCATACTAGTGGATTCAAAGATTTTAGTGGTGTGAAGAAACCCTGCTTCCCATGCCTCCACTGAATTGTCAATGCATAGAATCACATAAATGTTATCTGAAGCTGCCAAACTGTGTTAATTAAGAACAGAAGGCTTTACCTCAGCTTCCTCCAGGGAGGCTTGCAGTTCAGATTTCTCCTGCTCAACCTGCTTCTTGACTTTCTCCAGCTCGTGAATTGCCTTTCCTTGCTCAGCAATCTGCTCTGTGAGGTCAGAAATCTCCTCTGCAAAGAAGGGTGAAAAGCAGCATGGTCAGGCACAGAGCTGAATGGAGAAAGGCTCTGGTGCATCAGGGGGCCAGGCATGTTCTTATCCCTGCAGGCCCAGGGCCGTTAAGTGTGGCAGACAGACAAGCCTGTGAGGAAGGGCAGCGAGGAGCAGAGG